GTTTTTTCAAAAGTTGAAACATTTGTTTTTTCTTGAGTGTAAAGGTAGAAAGTAATAATAACAATAAAAACAACAAAAACAACGACAACAATAATAATGTAGATCAACGGAAGAAAACCAAATCGTTATAACGTGTTACCCCACTCGTTAGCTGTTCATATATAAATCAACTGGTACTTAAAAAATTGATGCTACTGTTGTTATTGTTGTTGACTATTATTATTATTATTATTATTATTATTATTATTGTTGTTGTTGTTGTTGTTGTTGTTGTTGTTGTTTATTATGAACTAACATTTTCTATTAGTACTCATTCATATTAAATAGCGAAATGGTATTTACCAGTTTGATTAAGTTTAACTCTATTTCATATCATTTTTTTGACCACTTTATTTTATTGAACCGATAGTTCGTTTTTGGTTGTATAGTAGCAGTGTTATTGCTTTTGATGCGGTTGCTGCTGCTTCTGCTGCTGCTTCGATCGGTACTTCAGCTTTTTTTTCACGAAAAACAAAACCTGTTCTCAAAAAGAAGACACGTTTTGGTTCATTATTTATTTTCTTTATTTGCTTTCATCATCATCATCATCATTATTATTATTATTATTTGTTATTATTATTTGTTTTTATTATTATTATTATTTATTGTTCTGTCAGTGTCTTACTTTTCTGTTCAGACCCTTTATATATTGAGTTATTGAATCTCCGTTAGAGTTACATTATTTTTTTCTGTCATTTTCGTTTTTTTTGTTTCTCTTTCTCTCTCTCTCTCTCTTTCTTCCACTCTTTCTCTTTCTTTCTCTCTCGTTTGCTCTCTCCCTCACTTTCTCTTTTTCTCTCTATTTCTTGTTTGCTTTCGTTCTCTTTTTTCTCTCTCTCTCTCTTTCTCTCTCTCTTTCTTTCTCTCTCTCTCTCTCTCTCTCTCTTTCCGGTTTCTCTGTAACTTTCTTTCTCTTTCTAGTTCTATATCGTATTTTATTATTTCAATTTTTCCCTTTTTTGTTTTTTTTTATTTCTCTCTCTTTCTCTACTTTTTGTTGTCTCTCTCTTTTACTTTTTCTTTTTCTCTCTCTCATTTTTGTTTTTCTTGTTTTCCATATAGTGTTAAACAAAACGAAAAATTGACATGCCGCAAGCATAAGCTCACGAAACCTCAAACAGACAAACATATCTAGAAATAAAACAAATGATCATACAAACAAACATTGATACAAAGTAACAAACAAACAAACAGACAAACATATATACAAACAAATAATTAAATTAATAAATAGATAAATAGTTATCAGCTTATTAAAATTGAGTAGAGAAAAACATCATTTAGGAAATTAGGCCGTTCTGGGGCATTAAGCAATTACGCTTCTGTGCCGTTGTGTCGTATTTATTCATTATTTTCTGTTGATGGGCGTTAATTCTAATAAATAATCAAATACGCGGGACACACACACGCACACACACGCACACACATTCGTAGAGATATACTATATGGGATACCTAGAAAAATTTTCATGTACATAAAATTGATCTACATAAACTATATAAATATTATTGATATGTTTCATCGTGTAATATATATGTATTATATTATATATATACATTTTATATATATTTATACAAATGCATATTATATATATACATATGAGGTAATTTAAGCGGTGATTTTCAATCATCTTCAGCACTTTGTCCCTGTGATTTACGTTCTCCGTTATCAGTGACTTTATTAATTTTACCGTCTTCTTTACTAATTGCTAGGGTTTCTTTGTTTGGGATAATTACCTTGGTACTATTCAACTACCCGAAGCTAGAAATTCGGTAGATTTCCTAAATTGCTGCATTAATTATGGTCTTTAACCAGCATATATAAACCGAACATTGCTGTTTGTAATGATTTAAAGAAGTTTTTTTTATTTTTGTTTTATTATAAGCATTCATTAACTCAGGTATTTCGTATATTAATGTTTTGTATTTTGCTTGGATGTGTGTGTGTGTGTGTGTGTGTGTGTGTGTGATTGGTGTATGTTTATTATTAATTCAGTCAATCAATATTTGTCTTAGCGTATATGTTGTTAGTTGCCTTAGAAAATAGCTCAAGGTTTTTATTGTTTATTTTTTATTCATAGTTGCTTCGTCTTGGTATGTATTTCATTTTGTATTTTCTGGCATTTGTATTGTTTATTTTGCCGTACGTGTTTATTTAATATGTATGTATGTTGGTATCTATGTATCACACACACAAACACATATTATGTAAGTATGTATGCGTATCTGTTTGTCTATCTGTGTACACATGTATGTGTGCCTATGTATGTACGTGTTTAAAGTGTTTACATATCTTTTAAAATATTTGTGTGTGTCGTAATTTGTCATAATTAATTTGTTAGTTTGTCTTAATAATCGTAGTGCTAGCGAAAATTGTATAATTTGCATCTAAAAATTTTAACTCTGGTTGGTGTCAAAAACATTGAACATCTTTTTTGTCATTAGTATTGTTATTATTATTGTTATTGTTGTTGTTATTTTTCACAATATAATGAACAACACATGTATGTATGTATTTGCAAACAAATCACACACACAAACACATATTATGTGAGTAAGTATATATATATATATATATATATATATATATATATATATATATATACCCTTGTTTCGCTTTTCACTTCACACACACAAATACACTTAAAAACACACACACACGCACACCGCAGAGAGAGAGAGAGAGAGGAAGAGAGAGAGAGAGAGAGAGATACGCACAAACCTACATTTACACACACACACACACACATACATGATATATATATATATATATATATATATATATATAATGAATTTGAAATGATCATAGCGTAGTATAGCATAGCAAACATAAGCACTTCATCTTGAACTCAGATGTGTGTTCATCCTTAAATTTTTAATTTTAGCATAATGAAGTTCACGTTTTAATCTTTTTTTTATTTCAACTTGAACGGTTTTTTTAGAATAATGGCGGTTGTATAATTAATGGTAGGTAATTATTATATTAATTAATAAATAGCTTCAGTTTAATTAATCTATTAATTAATTAAATTTATTGATTAAAAGTAAAAAGTTTGATATGGGTTTCAATTGAAGATATTCAATCATTAATATCTATTATATTGGATACAAGATTCAAATACGTAAGAACATAAAATACTTATGAAAATACATTAATAAGAATTCTTTTTTTAAATTTATTAACTTAATTAATTAATTAAAGAATAAGTTAATAAATTACTTAATAAATAAATTGACTATTTCAATGGATAATTAAACAGAAAGTAATTTGTGAGCCAGCAAAAGGTATCAAAAAGGTTTTATTATTGATACATTTTTAATGAGTAATTTTTTGGTTATCTCATTCTGACATTGATTCGTCGGATGAATCTTTCATTCGTTCACCCTGCACATTTTAGATACGGTTTTAAATGATTGGATCTATATTGTTGATAACATTTATGTGTTAAAAATTATTCTTTTTTTTGATAAAATTTTAAAAATTTTGCTAAGATTAATTGAGTATAAGAATTTGTGTAAATGTTACTCTATCTTCAAGTTCATTGCATGGTTAATTTTCATTCCATTCATTCTTTCCATCATCTATTCGTTCATTCATTTTTTGTTTAATTTTCTCATTCATTCATTCGTTCATTCATTTATTCATTCATTCATTCATTCATTCCATCGATCCCTCATTTCTTCATTCTTATGTTTCAAATTTATAAATTCATTTCTTGTTTGCGTGTAAGTTTATAATTATTTATTTATTTATTCATTTATTACTTAATTTACATGTGTCCACAAATTACACATTTATTCATTTATTTATTTGTTCATTTATGCGTTGGTTCATTTGTTCGTTCGTTCATTCATTCATTCATTCATTCATTCATTCATTCGTTTTTTTTCAACGTTTTTTTATTCACTCATTCATTTAATCATTCAACCATTTATTCATTTAATCGGTCATTCAATCATTCAACTAACCAGCAACTAATTTTTTCACTCATTCATTCATTCATTCATTCATTCATTCATTCATTCATTCATTCATTCGTTCGTTTACAATATTTTAGTTATCTATTAAGTAGGCAGTTCTTTCTTTGAACCGCCAGAAACAACATTAGTATCAACAACAACGACCCTAACCTAACATAGCGTCTTAGCCAGAACTTGTGTTTTGAATTGTTGTTTAAAATTTGTTTTTGTTTCTTTGTTGTTGTTATTGTTGTTGCTGTGGTCGTTACCGCTTCTGTCGTCGTTTTTGTTGTCGCTATTCTTTTTTGTTTTGGTTCTTATATATGTGTCCTGTTTAAAATCATTCAAAATGAATCAGAGTCACCATTACTTACGATAGTAGAGAGATAGGTAGGTAGGTAGATAGGTGGTTTTCTTTCGTAGAAGCTGTCTGTTGTTATTGTTTACCTGTTATATATTTTTCTCTGGCGGTGGTTTGGTTTTTTTAGGTATGCTAAGAAAATTAAAATATATATATTTATTATATTTTTTAGGGTTTTTTTTTAATTTTGCTGCTTTTACCCTTGGGTTTTTCTGATCGAAGGATGTTAATGATGAGACGACGAGACGATGATGGCGAGCGATAATGCAGATGTCGATGATAGTGATAAGGCTGGTGGTGATGATAATAATAGTAATGATGATGATGATGGTGATGAAAAAAATTAGGATGATTATCTTTCCTATTGATGAAGATGACGCCATTATTTATGAAAAAAATGATTATATATGCTTTTGGCGGCGTGAGATAGTGTAGCGGTAAAGTGCTTGGTGCTGCTGTCGCAGTTACTGGATTCAATTGCAAGGATAGATTCCCGCGTGTGATGCGTGGTTTGTTTCTTCATGCCTCTGAAAAATTGTCGTATTGAAGAGAGAATACAATTTTTCATGTAAATCAAAATAAAATAAATAAAAATGATTAAATAACTTTTGCCGAATATTTTTCAGTTCTATCACTCAACAATGAAGAGGAAACCGTCCAATTCAACGCCGACAAAACACAAAATTCTGGCGATACCTGCCCTCGGTGGTACCACCTCAACCCTGACGGCCTCACATTCTAATTCGTCGGCACTGAGCGCCACCACATCGCCGTCAAAGTATCACGACGGCATGGTCGTTACCGATCTACTCAAAGTTTCTTCTGAAAATTTTGCTGTGAGTTGATTTGTTTGTTTGTTTGTTTGTTCGTTCGTTCGTTCGTTCGTTCGTTTGTTTGAATTAAAAAAAAAGTTTAATTCAATTCATTTAAAAAATACTTCGTAAAATAAATAAAATAATTCTTTATTTATACATACGTACTGCGTTATACACTACAGATGGAATGGTTTAATTAATTATATCCTTATTATGGATTAATAATAATAATATTATTATTATTTATAATAAGTATATTTTTTCGGTATTTTCTTAGGTAGTGGGGCGTATATGCTATGTACGTATAACAGATATCTTGCCTATCCTCAATCTATTTTATGCTGCGTGTGTACTTACGCTGCTAATCAATTGATTGAGATTTATGTCTTCTCATTTGTATGACTTTAATGTTGAAACATTATGTGGCTTTGATCTCTCTCTTTCTCTCTCTCGCTCTCTTACTCTTCCTCTCTCTTTCTTTCTTTCTGTCTCTTTTCCTCTCTCTTTCTCTCATCTCCTTTTCCTCCTTTCTTTTCTTTGTCCCTTTCTTTTTTTTCCTTTTCTTTCTCGTTCTCTTTCAGTCTATTCTTGTCTTTTCTTCTCTTTCTCTTTGTTTCTCTCTCTCTCTCTCTTTCTCTCTCTCTCTCTTCTATAGATGTATCTGTTATCTGTGTTATATGTTAAACATAATTTTTTTTTCTTTGCATTTTGGTCATAGTCTGCAAGTTTAGAAAGATGTTATTAAGTCAACAAATTTTTGTTCAAAGACGGCAGAAATGAATAAACACATATCATTGAATACTTGAATACACACACACACACACACACACACACACACACACACAGAGCCAGATGACCGTAATGGATATGATCATCTTTAAAGCCATACAACCAGAGGTAATGATGTTATGTTTTTCCTCAGTAATATAATTGTCAGCAGTAGTAGTAGTAGCAGTAGCAGCAGTAGTAGTAGTAGCAGTAGCTGTAGTAGTAGCAGTAATAGTAATTCATTATTGTAAATGTGTAAGTGCAGTTTATAATTTTATCAATTGCTGTGTTATTATTATTGTTGTTGTTGTTATTATTATTGTTATTATGTTGCTTATTGCTGTTGTTTATTATTATTACTGTTGTTTATCTATCTCACAAGCCAAAATATTTACTTTGAGATAACTATTTTAAAGTGAATATTAAAAATAATATATATGTATATAATAATATTTATAATAATAATAACAATGAAAATAAAGAATAATAATAATAATATAATACTATAAAATAATTATTATTATTAATTATATATGGTAGTGGTATTCTCTTCATTAATAGCAATTGAGTAATGCTGATTTCAACTAATGTTAATATTATATAAAAATATAATAACAATTATAATTATCATAATTATGTATATTTAATTCAAGCAATTAGAAATATAAGTGCAGAAATATTATATCAAATTGCTAATGGTGTTAGGGTTGATGATGTCGAAATAATTTTAGTGATAATATATAATACTATATATAATAATATAATATAATAATATAATAATAATAATATAATAATAATAATACTATTACTATTACTTATAATGATGATAGTAATAACAACAACAGCGATAATAATGATAGTTCATATGACATAGCTCTAATTTTTATAGATCGTTCATATTTTAAATGCTAATTTTATCTGTGTCTGGATTGAAAAATTGATCATTAGTTAGAGACGACTGAGCTCTTCCTTCATTCGTCATCATCCATCATCATATGAATTAATTTAATTTTTTGGTCTTGAAAAGTTAAGCTGAATTAAAAAATGTGTACACATGAAAACTGAGATAGATAGAGAGAGAGAGAGAAATACGGAGAGAGAGAGTGAGAGAAAGACAGACAGATTGTGTACACGTGTATATGTGTCAGATAAAGAGAAAGAAAGAGTGTGTGTGAAAGAAAGAAAGAAATAAAAATAGATGGAGAGAGAGAGAGAGAGAGAGAGAAAGTGAGAGAGAGAGGTAGAGAGAGAGAGAAATAAAAACTGTGTTTTTGTATGTGAGAGAGAAAGTGTGCATTTGGTCTGTTTTCGCAAGAGAAAGAGAAAGAATGTATCTGTGTGTGCGAAAATGTGTGATTGTGTGTGTGCGTGTCTGTGCGTGCGCTTATATAAATTGTGCCTATTCAGAATATTTTTATTATTGTGGATGGAATGATTGGTGGAGAAATCGACAGATAGAAAGATAGGTAGAAAATAGTTTTTTTTGTGAAAGAATGAAGCAAATGACATGAGAGGAATTCAAACGGGGATTTCCATATTATTTTTACTCAGTGCACTAAGAGACCTTAAAAATATTTTACTCCCATGTTAACTGTTTGGGATACAAAATCCACATTACAGTGATATACACGCTTATATAAAAAGTGTACATGTTTGTATGTAATATTTTTGTATTATTTGTGTCGTATGCGTTGGTGTACAGTTGCATAACATCACAAACATAACAAAGAAAACATACAAGCAAGCAAACAAACAAACGTGACGTCATAATTATACAAAGATATATAATGTAACAAAGAATGAAATGCTTTTTCAAGGAACTGACCACGTGTTCCTGGACTGCGAAGGATAAATTAACGGTAGCCCCCAATGTCGTCGCTTTCACCAGGAGATTTAATCACGTGAGTATTATTATTATCATCATCATCATCATTATTATTATTATTATTATTATTATTATATCGTTAGTCTTGTAATTATTACCATCGTCGTCGTCTTCATCACCACTAGATAAACTTCTGGGTGCAGAAAGAAATATTGTCAGGAACGTCGGTGAAGGCAAGAGGGGAGATAATGAGTCACTTCATAAAGATAGCCAAGGTTTGTCTGTCTGTCTGTCTGTCTCAGTCTGTCTATCTATCGTATTTTCATTTCTACACTATCATTTATCTATCATTTATTCATTTATTCAATCAATCCCTCCATCCATCCAGCACTTATTGGAGTTGAACAACTTGCACTCTGCACTCGCCATCGTCTCTGCCCTTCAGAGTGCCGCTGTCTATAGGCTCGAGAAGACGTGGAGTGTAAGTTGATTGATTGATTAGTTGATTGATTGATTTGTTGGTTGGTTGATTGATTGATTGATTCGTTCGTTGATTGATTGATTGATTGATTGATTGATTGATTGATTGATTGATTGATTGATTGATTGATTGATTGATTGATTGATTGATTGATTGATTGATTGATTGATCGATCGATCTTAGTTTATTGGTTTATGAGTTAGTTTGCGATTTATTGATAAACGTGATGAGACTGGTTCAGTGGTTTATAAATTGCTAAACAGAAACACACAATATAAACACACATTTATCGATTAGTTACACACACACACACACACAAACACACACACACACACATACACATATATGCAGACACGCACAGAAACGAACACATACATATCCATACAAACAAACAAACAAGCACAAACACTCTCAGATGCTCTCAAAAAAGGATAGACACACGTACGACAAACTTTCAGACTTATTTTCAGCCAATGATAACCATTCAAAACTTAGAGAACACATCAACAGCTCACGTCTACCTATTATCCCCTATCTTGGTTGGTTGATTGATTGATTGATTGATTGATTGGTTGGATGGTTGGTTGGTTGGTTTGTTGATTGATTGATTGATTGGATGGTTGGTTGGTCGGTTTATTGATTGATTGATTGATTGATTGATTGATTGATTGATTGATTGATTGATTGATTGATTGATTGATTGATTGATTGATTGATTGATTGATTGATTGATTGATTGATTGATTGATTGATTGATTGATTGATTGATTGATTGATTGATTGATTGATTGATTGATTGATTGGTCAACAATATTGTTTCATTGAAATAATTTCATGATTTATCGTGAAAAAAAAATATTTTAGCGACAAAATTTCTCGACCTATTATTATTGGACAAAAATAAAAACAGCCTCGTTGACCTAGTTTCTCATTATCTGATTGGACAGGCTTGTACCTGACCGACCTAATTTACATCGACGTGGCACACCCGAACAGTTCAGGAGGGGTGGAGACGGAACGGAGGAGGGTCAAGATGAATAACATCATCAGGATGATCACTGAGTTCCAACTGTCAAATTATGGTTGGTTGGCTCGTTGGTTGCTTGGTCGGCTGGTTGGTTGATTGGCCGGTTGATTGATTGGCTGGTGGTTGATTGGCTGGCTGGTTGGTTGATTGATTGAATGTATGATGGATCGTTGGTGCTAATTATTATTTCAGTATTATTTTATAATTATAACATTATAATTATAATAATTTAATAATTATAATATAATTTAATAATTTCCAAAATAATTTCCATGTGGTCGACGACGAACAGATCACCTGCCAACCTACCCGAACATACAGACCTATTTAAACTCCGTGAGGTACATTGAAGAATTGCAGAAATTCGTTGAAGATGACAACTACAAGTATGTCTGCTGTGTGCGTGTGTGTGTATTTGTATGTGTGTTTGTTTTGTGTGTGTGTGTGAGAGAGAGAGAGAGAGAGACAGAGACAGAGAGAGAGACAGACAGACAGACAGAGAGAGAGAGAGAGAGGAGGTGGTTGTAGATCTGTTTGTTTGTAAGTTTCCTATGTAAAATTTATTTAGTTATGTTATTTGTTTTTTGTTAGTGTTGCTCTAAATTAATCAGTCATTCAATCAATCAGCCAATTAATCAATCAATCAATTAATCAATCAATCAACCAATCAATCAACCAATCAATCAATTAATCAATCACAGACTTTCCATGGCTATCGAACCATCCCCGCAGCAGCATCAGCAACATCAGCAGCAACAACTACATTCATCGTCACTGTCGTCGTCACTGCAAGTTCGCAGTCCCATCGTTCCATTCCTGCCTATCGATGACGTCAACGACAACAACAACAGCAGCAACAACAACTATAATAATAATAATTATGACGTCACAAACTGCACCAACAACAACAACAACGACGATGACGACGAGGATGCTGATGGATACGCAGACGGCTATGACGACGACGACGACGACAAAATAGCGTCATCATGCATCCCCATCACATTAAATCGCAACAACAGCTATAACATCACTAGCAACAAAAACGTCGTCCTTAAAACCAACAACAACAACAACAAAAGCACCAAAACCAACAGCAGTACAAACAAATTCAACGACAATTATAACAATCACGAGCATGCAGTCTGCAGTCGCCAGGCAAGTCGCAAAAATAAGTTAAAAAATTTCGACAGCCCAATCAAGGGAAAAACATTAAGCTTCTATCACTCGCACAGCAAACACAACAAACAACAAAACAGCAACTACCACAACAACAACAACTACTACTACAACAGCATCAACAAAGATTCATTCGGCGGTTGTAGCTGTAGTGGTAACAAAATAAGCCACAATACAAATGCCGATGCGTGCTGCTGTGGTACTGGTAGTAGTGTAGTCGTTAGTAGTAGTGGTGGTGGTGGTGGTAGTTGTGGTAGTTGTGGTGTTGTTGAGAAAAGTTATAGGCGAATCAATGCTAATCACAGGAAGACTAAGAGTTTAATGCCTGAGTAAGTTGTTGCTGTTGCTGTTGTTTTGTTGTTGTTGTTGTTGTTGTTGTTGTTATTCAGGACTACATTTTGCACTTAGTTGAACATTTGTGCTACAATTGGCTGCACTATCCACTTCACACCAAACAAATACATGTTTTCGTATTCACTCGCGATCTCCATATCAAGAACGTATGTTGTCTGATAGCCATCTTTGAGATTCGGACAGACAGTATTCGAACCAGGCCATCGCATAACAACAAAAAGCTTGAAGCTTGGCGCTTTTACCGACTGAGCTAACTCGCCGACCATATAGATTATTGTTGTTGGTGGTGCTGATGTCATTGTTGTTAATGTTGTTCTTATGGTTATTATGGTTGTTTTTATTTTCATTGACATGGTTGGTGACGTCAATTCTAACACAATACAGGTTTCTATCTTCATTGCAAAGCAGCAACAGCAGCAACAACATGACAACAGTAACAACACCAACATCCGCCCTGACGTCAGTATCATTAAAACAACAACAGCAACGAAATCTCATCGATGATAGCATTGTTGATGACTTCTCATGCTCGAGTAACAGATCGTCATTTCAAACTCTTGGTTGGTTGGTTAATTGGTTGATTGGTTGGTTGGTTGGTTGGTTGGTTGGTTGGTTGGTTGGTTGATTGGTTGGTTGGTTGATTGGCTGGTTTGTTGGTTTGTTTGTTGGTTGGTTGGTTGATTGGTTGGTTGGTTGATTGGTTGGCTGGTTGATTGGTTAGTTGATTGGTTAGTTGGTTAGCTTCATGTAATGCTGATGTTATCATTAATAATAATCATAGCTTGAAGGTAACTAAATTTGGGATGACGACAACGACGATGATGAGAATAATGATGAGAGTGATGATGACGATGATGTTGGTAATGATAATGATGACGATGAAGATTATTATTATTATTTTTATTATTATTATTATTATTATTATTATGTTAAACAGGCCATTCGCTGAGCAATGGTACCGAGGAATCATTATCATTTAAGGAAAAATTATCTGTCGGGTGAGTGAGTGAATAAATGGATGAACGAATGAAATAATGAATGGCTGGCTGGCTGGCTGGATGGATGGATGGATGGATAAAAAAGTGAATGAATGAATAGTGGGTGGATAATAGAATGAATGATTAAAAGATTTTTTTAATGATTTAAAGAGTTTTCTGATTGATCGATATATACGGATCGATATATGGACGGATGGATGAATGAGTGAATGAATGAATGAATGAATGAATGAATGAATGAATGAATGAATGAATGAATGAATGAATGAATGAATGAATGAATGAATGAGTGAATAAATGAGTTCGTCATGGTCATAATAATCATCATTACATTTCCTCTATAATGTAACAGGAATTCCCTAGATATTGCAGACTTCCAGGCTAAATATTCATATGAGGGGATGGTGAGGAGGAAAACGCTGCTCAAAAATGGGAAAAAACCATCTGTACGTTGTTGTTGTTGGTGGTGGTGTCGTTGTTGTGGTAGTGGTGGTGGTGATGTTGTTAAGTCAATCAGTCAGTCTCCAATTTTCAATAACCAACCAATCAAATTGATTTACTCTCATCAACCAACCAATCAAATTGATTTACCCCCATCAACCAACCAATCAAATTGATTTACTCTTATCAACCAACCAATCAAATAGGATAACTCACAATCGCTCAACCAATCAAATCGAATAATTTTCATCCAACAACCAACCAGATTGCATCGTGGACGAAATATTGGATGTGCATTTTGCGAGATAACCTCCTATATTTTCCCGCCAAATATTTCCACGGAGACATGCGAACCTCGGTGAGTAAAATAAAGTTAACAACAACAACCAACAACAACATAGAAATAAAAACAAATTTTTAACAACAATTCAAAACACAAACAACAACATAAACAACACCATAAATAATAATAATAATAATAATAATAATAATAATAATAATAATAATAATAGTGGCAATCATCGTTATCATCATCATCACCACATTCATCATCGTCGTCGTCTTCGTCACCATCAGTTCAAATCAGAGCCATGCAAGATGATGAACCTGACCGGTTGGAAGGCGAGCATGCTGGCTGACGATGGCGATTTCTTCCTACTCACAGATGACAGCAACAACAATGGTTTGCTGTTGTTATTATTGTTTTTGTTGGTGTTGTTTTTGTTGGTGTTGTTTTTGTTGTTGTTGTCGTTGTTGTTGTCGTTGTTGTTGAGAACATTCATTATCATCATCAGCATCCTTACTAGTATCATCATCATAACTTTCAGCGAACGTCTACAAGTTCAAGATAGGAAGTAGCAGAGTGACGACCGAGTGGTGTGCAGCCATTGAGGCGGCCACTCGTTGTAGAGAGGAAAAAGATGAAGTGAGTAGAGTGGCGATGGTGGTGGCGATGATGACGACGACAATGATGGTGATGATGATGACAATGATGATGATGGTGCTGCTGGTGGTGATGATGATGATGGTGCTGGTGGTGATGATGATGACGATGATGGTGCTGGTGGTGATGATGATGGCGATGATGGTGATGATGATGGTTGTTGATGTGACTGTGGTGGCTGGGATTTTATAGAGTTGTTTTTTAAAACAGAATTTTTACACTTTTTCAACTCAGGTTCCTACAGACTTGATAAATTTCGAGTGATAAAACGACAACATCACAATCGTCATCATCTGTATCACTACCATCTGTATCATAATCTATATCACTACCATCTGTATCACTACCATCTGTATCATCATCTGTATCACTACCATCTGTATCACTACCATCTGTATCACTACCATCTGTATCATCATCTGTATCACTTCCATCTGTATCATCATCTATATCACTACCATCTGTATCACTACCATCTGTATCATCATCTGTATCACTACCATGTGTATCACTATCATCTGTATCACTACCATCTGTATCATCATCTGTATCACTTCCATCTGTATCATCATCTATATCACTACCATCTGTATCACTACCATCTGTATCATCATCTGTATCACTACCATGTGTATCACTATCATCTGTATCACTACCATCTGTATCATCATCTGTATCACTTCCATCTGTATCATCATCTATATCACTACCATCTGTATCACTACCATCTGTATCATCATCTGTATCACTACCATCTGTATCACTATCATCTGTATCACTACCATCTGTATCATCATCTGTATCACTTCCATCTGTATCATCATCTATATCACTACCATCTGTATCACTACCATCTGTATCATCATCTGTATCACTACATTTTATGGTGGCCCAACAAGTCATATCTTTGGGTCTCCTAGCTTTTTGCTTAATAAACTCATTAACTAAATTGGATTATTGAATTGAATCATCGTAATCACAGTCGTCATCATCTTCATCATCATCATCCACCTCATAATAACTTATTTGTTCTCTAGTCCCACTCACTCATTACCAATCTATCCTCCAATAATGAAGGACAGTTATTTTTGCTTGTAGATATAAACTAATTATGAAATAATAATAATAATAAATGATAATAATAAATAGTTATAATAATAAATATATATGTATATATATATATATATATATATAATTATTAATTATTATAATTTGCCTATATTTTTAATCACTTCGTCACATCACTTGTGAGAAACGTCACAGATGATTAGGTAATGATGATGATTTAAATTAATCATTTATTATTATTATTATTACTCTTATTTTTGTCTTTATTATTATTATTATTTTATTATTACTATTATTGAAATTTTGTAACTACATCGTAGATGCATCAAGAAACAACTTGCCTTATATTTTGTTATATATATATATATATACAATCAATGTTTATTTATATATTTATTTATTTATTTATTCAATATTTTATGATCAAAATAATCATTCTTTCTCTCTCTCGCTCTTTCTTTCTCTTTTCTTTTTCTGTCTCTGTTTATCTTTCTCTGTCTACCTCTCTTTTTCTCTCTCTCTCTCTCTCTCTCTCTCTGCCTCTCTCCCTCTCAATATGTAAATTATGCTATAATATGTTTCAATGTTTATTTATGAAATTTATCCTTTCAAGACTGTTGCCTTTATAAATTTTTTTTTACATAATTACTGGTTTGAATGAATTAAATAATGTTATTTTTACCATTTATTATTATTATTATTGCTATTAATAATAATAATAATAATCATCAGTAGTTATTATTATCGTAATTATTTTTATTAGTTTTTTATTTTTAGATCGGTTGAGAAAAAATGTCTGCGTTAGTTAGTTAGTAGTTAGGGTAAGAATAAAAAATTATCGCTTAGACTTGATTGATAAATTAATTTTTCTTCTCTACATTCATTTTTTCAACAAGTTACTCGATTGAATGTTGAATTTGGTTGGTTGTTTTATTGGTTGGTTGATTGATTGGTTGAACGGTTTGTCGGTCGGTTGATCGATCGATTAGTTGAATGATTGATTGTGATTAGTTATTTAAATGATTGATTGATTGATTAAAAAATTTCCTCTAATGTTTTTTACCAAAAGAACTGTTTCATGGCATAGAATATAACTTGTTTATCAGTGCTTCCTCGCTTACATTTTATATCATTGTGCCTTATCTCTTTTTTTCTTAGTAGATAAATAGAAAATTAATTAATTTAAATTAAAATTAACCACAATTATTCATGTCAAATTATAATTATTCATAACTAATTTTAATTATAAGTGTCTTCCGATTCATTTCAATGAAAAAATAATACAAGTGTATGTACAGCATTTTGTTTTTCTCTTTTTTTTTGTCGCGACATTTTCTGAGATAATAAAAAATTTACTCTATAACTCGCTGTTTTGTGTCGTTTCCATTACGATACGATACATTACGATATCGATACGATACTAAACGATACTTCATGATTCGATGCAGTTCGATGAAATGCAACGATGGTACGATGCAATTCGAAAAACACATTAGGCATACAATTCGGTTTCAAACAATACATTCTATACAATAGAATTAGTTGGCATACAGTTTCTTTTACGGTGCAAAACGTTTTGATACAAAACGATTCGAAACTTAACGATACGATTCGATACAAAACGATACAGAATAACGAGATAATCGTTGAGACGAAAGTAGAGAGAGATATGAAGGGATCGTTTTAATCAGCACTTCGAAGAATCGATGGTGCTCTTTCGTTCGGAGGGATCAGAAATTTTACCAACGAACGATGCTCTGCTTGTCTTATATGCAAAATTTCATTGAAACAGATGATATGTATCGTTGCTCGTGTAAAACCCTATCCTGTATTTTTCCAATTATAAACTTTTCTCGGCTTTCTGAACGATACATGTTTGATAGCGTTTTATTTTGAATAACAAAACAAACAGAATGCTTTTTAAAAAACTTTTATTTTCAAATACAAATATTCAATTCAAAATGGGTAAAACAAATAAACGCAATATATATATAATATATATATATATATATATATTTATTTATTTATTTATCTATCATATATACAAATTTTTAAAATCGCGAAATTAAAAATAAAATATTTTTTTGCTGGATTATTGAAACTGTCCTTCGAAAGGTAGAGAGAGGAAGAAGGTAAGAAGGAAACGTTAGAAAAAAAAATAATAATAACAAATATTAATAATAACTATGAATAATAATAATAACAAATAATAATAATAATATAATAGCAATAATATTAACAAATAACAGTTATAATTAACAATTAATAATAAATAATTAATAATAATATCCTGCTGACAATATCTTATCACTCAATGAATCAAAAGAAGCTCGCAAATTGTTTAAATTTTCAGTCGTTAATTAATTATGTTTCGAAAGCAAATAGACAAATTACTTAATAAAATAAATAAATTAGTTAATTAATTAATAACTAAATAACTTAATAAATAATTTAAATTTATTATACATCAAATAAAATAAATAAATTAATTATATAGTTCAAAAAAAAAAATAAATTTAACTTCTCAATTTTTATCATTTCATTTCATTTCATTTCAGAATTTCAACAGGAGACGGTGAGAATAAATTTGTGGTAGAAAATAAATTTGAAAAATTAAAACAACAACAACAAAAACAACAACAATAATAATAACAATAATCAGAACAATTATAAGAAATAATATAATGATAATAAAAAGGAGGAGAATAATGAGAAATAATCCATACTCTTGATAAACTACGCATTATGAAAAGATGAATTTAAAGCGCTCGTTTTGAAACAATGAAGTATTTCTTATCGTTTTTTAAAAAGTTAATTTACTTATAAAATCCTTACATCTTATAAGTTTATTACTATTATTTAGTGTTATCATTAGCAAAACAGCTATAATATTAATAATAATTATAATAATAGCAATAATAATAATAACAATAATAACTAATTGATTGATTCTACTAAACATCAATCAATCAAATAGAACATTTAACGGAATAAATTAACAAAACACTTAAATAACTAACCAATCAATAACTAATTAATTTTATTTTATTTGACGATTTTTAAACTATTTAGACATAAACGTTCAATTAATTAGTTAATTAACTGATTAATTAATCAATCAATCAATCAGACGGTAAATTACAAGTTCTTGCATAATTGAAACCATGTGATTGGTGAATATAGATTAGAGCACTAACATTAAAAGTTAAAACTACTGAATTACAGAACGTATAGCAATTGGATATAGCTATTTTTTTGTCTTTTGTCTTTAAGATTTCAGAACAAATTATTCCTATCTAGATTACGCCTTAATCAAATTAATTTTTACAATCATAAACTACATTTTGCTAAATAAAAAAAATTAATAATAATAATATTAATAATAGATGAGTAATAATTAATCTTTGGCGCATTTTCTGCCAATTGACAAGGATTGTTGCGTATATTTATATGTGTTTGTGTGTGTGTCTGAGTGTTTTATAAAATGTTCTGTATGTTATGAAATGTTCAAGTGTATCAATGACACACACATACATGAACACACACTCAAGTAAATACACACTGAACTACACATAAATGTATCCACACATACACACACACACACACACACACACACACACACACACACACACACACACACACACACACACACACACACACACACACACACACACACACACACGCCAAAAACAATACATACAAAACGTGTATACAAATTTACATACAAACAAATACAAATTTATCTTTAATTATATATATATATACATATACACACAACATATATCGATATAGACATACTTATAGGTATATTTGAATTAATAACAAATTCGCTGAATATTTATTAAGAATAGCAATTTTTTCGATGAGTTAAACTAAATAAACATAACATTTACAATTAGACCTAAACTGTGAACAAAAATATAAAAAAGACATGTATATCTAGAATGAACAATAAGAAAAATATATACAAATCTATCTTATATAGATGATTGTTTTTAATTTCTGGGCATGTAAGCTTGTATTAGAAACATATGGGCTAGATAAATAACTTTACACCAAATTATGTGTGCTTACGTGTGTGTGTTTGCGTGCGTGTGTGTGTGCGCGTGCGCGTAATGGGCTTACTCAGTTGTAAACGTATTTATATACTCTAGAATTAAGTTATTATTACTTAATTGAAAGAATTAAGCAATTAAGCAGTTAGAATTGTGAATTTGCTACTAGTGAAGCTGCCACTACTGCCACTACCACTACTACCTCTACCACTACTACTATTACTACCATCAAAATTACTACAGCTACTATTAGTATTATTATTGTGAACTATTCATAGAAATAAACTAAACTTGGCAAGAGACTAATAAAAAGCATATTGATGAAAAAAAATACATCCATGGATGGATGAATGGATGGGTGTATAAATGGATGGATGAATGAAAGAATGAATGAAAGAATGAATAAATGAGTGAATGAATGAATGAATAAATGAATGAACGAATCAAACAGTCATTCAATAGAAAATGAATGAAAGAACAGGCGAACGAAGGAATACTAAATAAATGACGATGATGAATTGAAAAATAAATGGCATTTCATTAATTAATTCAATTTAAATTAAATAAATCTAACATATATTATATAAAGCGATTGAATGAAAAAACGACCAAATATAAAAGAATAAAATATTATTATTATTATTATTATTACCATTATCAACAAATTATAATAATAATAACAACAATAACACATAAGAATAACAAGCAATCTTCATTAACTATTTCTAAAATATAACACACACACATACACACACAAACACACACACACCACACACGCGCGCACATATTACATAAAATTTCTATTGCATAAGTTATCAAACACATTATTATTAAAATTTCTTATATTATTATTGTTTTTATTATTATTATTACGATCAATCAAATCGGCATTATTATTATTATTATTATTATTATCACCCCCGGCTAAATCTAGTTTAGTGACTTTATTATTGTTACTTTCATTAACTCTTAAACAAAAATTATTATTATTATTATTATTGGTAGTAGTATTATAAGTAGTAGTAGTAGTAGCAGCAGCAGCAGCAGCAGTAGTAGTAGTAGTAGCAACAACAACAACAGCAGTAGCAGTAGTAGTAGTAACAACAACAGCACTGCCAACAGCCTTAATAGTGGCGAAGCTAGTGATAGAAGTAGTAGTTTTATTACTAGTAGTAAAACTTTTAGTGGCCGCAATCGTAGCTACAATACTACTAGCTATAGTATTATTATTATTATTATTATTATTATTATAAATACTATAAATAATATTATTATTATTATTAGTAGTAGTAGTAGTAGTGGGATTATTATTATTCTTATTATTACTACAAGTAACTGTAGTTATTGTTGAGTTATTAGTAGTATAGGAGTGAATAACATTGTTATTGATGATGATATTATTATTATTGTTGTTGTTGTTGTTGTTGTTATTATTATTTATGCCGTTGTTCTTGTTGACGTTGTAGTTGTTGACGTTGTTACTGCCTAGGTATCTATCTTTATCCTTATCTTTTACCAGGGGCACTCCGGGTTCGAACCAGATGTAGTTGCGCGTTGGCTCGTAAGTGCCTGCCAGGTAGTAAATTTCGTTGTTGTTGTTGCTGCTGTTTGAGGTGTTGTTGTTAATGGAGTCTGGTGTGATTTTTGTCGACGAGCTGCTGCTGCTGTCGCCGGCGTTCATTTTTGAGACGTTGTTGTTGTTGTTGTTTTGAAATAGTTTGAATTCATTGTAGGATAGGACCCTGCATCTGTGAGAGATCGTCTGTACGTCATTGTCGTCTTCGTGTGACGATTGGAAGAGTGCTTTCTGTGTTTGTTCGTTCGTTCGTTTGTTTGTTTGCGTTTTCGTTTGTTTGTTTGCGTGTTAATTAATGGAAAATGGTGACGAGAATGATGAAGATGATGGTGATTTTACTCAAGATCAGAAGATAGCAGAAGATTGTCGTGCCGGAGAGTAAGGACAGAAAACATTCAAACTACCAAAACACAGAGCATCGATAGTGACCATCCGCAATGTTATTATTATACTTAAATGATTACGATGTAACGTTGACTTGAAATGAAACGCAGAACAAAGTTATTAGAGCTTTAAAAAACAACCATTTTTGTGACTTAGTCAGATTTGGGTATTAAGTTTGAAGACAGTGATATTTTTAGACAATTTATTTACTTGTGAACAAAAAAATACAAGAATAAAATTAAGAGAGAGAGAGAGAGAGAGAGAGAGAGAGAGAGAGAGAGAGAGAGAGAGAGAGAGAGAGAGAAAGAGAGAAAAAGAGAGAGAGAGAGAGAAAAGGGAAGATGGAGAGAGAAAAAAGAGAAAGATACAGCTATTTAGAACAGAGACAAACAGAAACAGCAGCCCATAGAAGAAAACACATTAAAAGAAAATGGAACCTTCGTCTCGAGAATCTGGTTGCCACCCTTGGTCTCCTCTGGATGGTAATACCACTTCACCTTCACAAACATGTTGCCATCCTGGTTCTCCCAGAAACTCTCCACACAACCGACAAATTTCAGCATGCTTTTGCCGTTCGAGACGAACACTACAGAGTTTCCGATCTGTGAGTTGTTGTTATTGCGGTTGTTGTTGTTGTTGTTGTGAGTTGTTGCAAGTGTAGTTGTTAAAGTTTTGTTTGTTCATTGCCAGTCAATACATACGTACAACGCCATTTTCACAAATGTTCAACACCGCTTTTCATTTCTTATTTCAAAAAAGCGAAGCCTTGCGAAATAACGCATCACACACCCTAGCACATAATAGTGGAGGATGCCTTTGCGTTCGATCCAGGTCACTGCAACACAAGAGACCGAGCATTTCTCTTCTAGGCCACCAAGCAAACCTCCGTAACTTGGACGGATTTACGAGCAACGAAAAGTAGTGATAGTGATACACAAAACAACGCTACATAAAAAAACGGGCGACTTGTAAATTTACCCAAAAGGTTCTTGGGATTTTTGCGTCGTAATCTACGAAGCATGCCTTGTTGCAGTTGTGGGAAAACCACAGGCATATTATCGCTCGTAAAGTGTGAGTAACTTTTTCTGCTACCATCGGCGCGTTAGTAAGTAATCATGTAATTACTATCTCTACAGCAGCAGCTCCGTTAGCATCATCGCCACGTTACTACCTGCCTGAGATGTCAATCTGATCATCATCTTACATTAACCACAGGAACCACAAAAATTTCATCTCTCACTTTATTTTCATCTCTCTCTCTCTCTCTCTCTCTCTCTCTCACTCATTTTGACTTTCATGTTCTCACAATAAACACCACGTTTTTAGCATCCTTTTTCAACACAAACGTCATTCGCATCTATCTCTTCTACAATCTCTTCTTACCAATCTCCCACAATCATCATCATTATTTTTATTATTTTCATTTTACCATCGATATCATCACCCTCATTATCACCCTCATTATCATCCTCATTATCATCCTCATTATCATCATCCTCATCATCATCATCAGCAGCAACATCATCATCGTCATCGTCGTCGTCGAGATTATTACCATCGTCACCACCACAGCCTACACACACGAAACATGAAACCCACACCACAGGTAATTTATGTTTTGTACTACTGCAGCTGCTCAGATGAACGAATGTAAAAAAAATAAAACTTTTTACAAACTATTCCTTACTTACTTACAAACAAATAAACGACTTTCGACACACACACACAGACACACACAAACACACACACACGCATACACACGCACGCACAATATCCACACGAAAGATACACACCTCAACGATATCAGAGCCCCTCTTGATAGCCCTGTAGAATGTCTTCTTGGACCTACCCTTGTGACAGTTTTTCTTGAGGGCCTCGCCAGACCACTGCCACTGTCTACAAGCCGGAAGAAATGCTGGTGGCGAGGATGAAGATGATGACGACGATGATGAGGAGGATGGTGACAATGAGAATGATGACGAGACGACGAGTGTGATGACGATGATAATGTTGATGAAGATAAGCGAATGATATGAATGGTGATGACAATGTTTTTAATAAGATGTGTGACATCAGATGATGACCTCAATGAGGTCATTTGTGATGATGAAGAGATAATAATGATGATGGTTGAGCTGATAATAGTACAAATAGCAGCGATTTATTCCAAAACGCCTTGCTTCAAAAAATTATACAAACACTTCTGGCGATAATAACTATGAATACA